TATATATAATAAAATAAAAACTATAATTACATTTTTTGAATGACAGTACTGTCGCTTTTGGTTTCCAATTGTTTTATTATATATGTTTCCAATTGCGTTGTGAGTTAAATAAAATGCGTACGCATATACTTAAAGTCATGGGCAAGTAGAATCGCGCTACAAGTAATCAACTATTACTTACTAATTTACTTAATCTTATTAATTACGATCCCATTTTAACCCAGGGGATGATGTTTATCAGGTCCCCTTCCCACCAGATCTCCAAGAAATAGCTTTGTAAAGGTGTTACATTCAGACACCTAGTTACGATCGCCAGTGAAGATTATGTGCGGTCCAGCGATGATAATATCGTTCATTGTCCACAATATGCATGTGATGAAATTTTTAATTGCAAACACGCAAATTTTATTCGTGTTATTCCGAACATAAATAGGCGCGATCAGAGGGCATAAAATACTATTCTTAATATTATTCACGTAGCACAATGCTAACGTATCAAACGCGTTTTCCTATTTTTGATCTTTTTATCAAATTACTTAAACGATTCTTTGTGAAAAAAACTTTAAGTACAAGTAGGACTCGAATTTATTTGTTCCAAACTATCACATATCAAAATCACTTTACTCTTTGCTTTTTATTTTTTTGTTTTTTGTTGTTTATTCTCTTTTTTGCTGCATAATTGTGTAAAATACTCCAACTTCTACGTGAAAATAATAATGCCAACTTATCTTTATATATGTTTAAATTAAATTATAAAATATATATAAAATAATGTTATAAAGATAAATTAATGTTATACGTTTTTAAATCATTTGAGACATATTTGTCTACAATAGTATAATTTTAATATATGATAAACGCTTTTTTGAAGCTAATTTGGGTCGACAGTGCTTTCCATTTAGTGATACAAATCGATACAAACCTTATTCTATCTTTGTTGACATTCAGAGAATAATGAAGATAGAACGACATTTGTGTCGATTGAAAATCATGTAAATGAAAAGCGTCGATTCTACTTCCCTCAATCGCGATTCTCAAGAGATCGATTTACAAGGAGAACTCTGGTGATATTCTCGGTCATCCGTACAAATTTTTTACAGACGCCGAATAAAAATATTATTCCTATAAACAGACGCACGAGGCAAACGCGGCAGTCTCATGCTTATCGTCATCGTACATTTACCGTACATTTAGTCGAAAGTTCCTATAATTATGCATACAAACATACACACATACATACGTATAACACAATACACATACGCACATGTACGCGTGATTCATGAGCTTTGAAAGCACATTAAGCGCACGTAGGAGCATCACATGTATCGGAGGTCCATTCGCGGTGGAGAGTGCTACGAGATCGTATCGGCGTCACATTTGGAATCAAAGCCGATTTACCGACTAACATATCTTCTTTTTTCATTTCGAAAAATTCAGGAATGCCGCCAAATATCAATTAAACAATGGCAGTTGTATATAAAATTTTTTTGAGTAGAGGATATCTTTTTCGGATATTATGTTTTTAGATAAAAGGATTTTTCTTGAATCGCGGAATACTTTCATGGATGATGAGGTCTCAGAAGCAGAAGTTCTCCAAAAGCTCTTCTAGGCCATCGACATCCAATTACGCCTACAATCTCCACTAATTCTGTATGGTTCCTAACTAACAGCTCCATTAATTTTGACTTCAGTTATAACACAGCTATGAAATAGGTGAATGAAGAAGATTGTCTTCGAAGGATCGCTTCGCTCCTGGATGAAAACGCGAGTCCCAAGTTGCGATGTCACATCCATCGAATACACATTCGAACACCAATTCCCGACTGATTCGCTCCTCTTCGAGGAATATTCGCTTCTTGATTGTCTATTCGTTGCGAAATATTTGCGAATCACTATACACCTAATACAGTCTGAACGAGAGGGTAAAAATTATGAGCTGATTTTATCCGCGCTTAAACTTCAGCACCAGCAAGCTTATCGTGAGAAACACGATAATCCAGATGATGGTGGAGATGTAGCCGTTGTAGACATTCGACTCTGTGATGCTCCAGCCGCGGGTTAGCATGGAACGCAAGGCAGTTGTCGCCATCGTTAGTGGTAGACCTTGCGAGATGTATCGAAGGAACGTCGGCATACCTTCCACCGGCCATATTACACCTGCAAAATTGAAAAATCAAGTAATCTTTAAAATAAAGTTTGCCGATTAGTCGACTAACCTATATGTTCTTTTCTTCATTTTGTGTTCAATTATTTTCAATTTGATTTAACTTTTATTTTGCGTGCTCGCTTCCAACAGCAAATTACTATTTTTAACGTTTTTCTAATTTCCTCAGGTTTTCTATGAACTATTTTCGATATTAAATTTACACTTTAGACAAAGAGAAACAGAGACTCAGATCTAATAAACAGTTCGTGTATAGCAATTTGATTAGAGCATGGCGCGTGTGAGTGGTATTGGCTGACTTTCACTTCTGGTAGATACAGTAAAGATTTAAATGCGTGACATTTGGATCAAAATAATTGTCTAGTGTAACAGTAACAGATTCGATTCATCGAGTACGAAATGATTATCATATTTGTCTTAGAGCAATGTGATATCAAGTGTATTATCAATTCAATCATATCTGATCGATAAAAGCAACGTTTCAATTCTTGCAAATTTCATGTAAACGTAATTTTAGACACTATGATTGTGTTTCAAATTTACTGCCAGCACTGAAAATGCTACAGTTTATGTTACATGCACTATAGATTTTCAGTACTGGCAGTCAATTTTGGAACACAGCCTATATTGTGAATAAAAATGAGAATTTTAAAAAATTCCGTATAAGCCTATTACTTCCACAAACTTTGTGACGTCATACGTACCACTGAGAAGAAGCGTAGGATAGAAGCTGCCTAGAGCTAGTTGAATGGCGTTCCTTTCGAGTTCGCAAATTGCCGAAATAACGAACCCTACGAGAAATAAGGAAATCCAGATTATAATCCTTGTTTTTTAATCGTCGGAATTCGCTCATTCAAAGAGTAAAAAGATAACTTATCTTTTATTTGCACTTTTGT